ATAAGAGTATAAAATAATTTTAAATTGACTTTATAATTCATGATTTTCACCATATTGTTTTTTATATTGACCTTAATGTTTTTTTTCTTTCTACTGTTCGTTATGTCAAGTATTTGTTTAAAATTGTATTATTGATGATTCAACTCGATCAGGTTGTATTTTATCCAACCATCAGTACCTATGAAATGTTCTCGATACTCGATCTTCGTCACCCTCCTATTGTCAAAATCAGGGAGCAAACTATTCAACATTTGTCGATAAAATCTCGACCGTCTAAAAAAAAAATTAAATACCTACCAGAAAAATTAAGTACCACACAAAATTAATATGGAATAAATAAAACAAAAGAATAAACTTGTTCAAATATGAGAAAATAAAAATTAAAACAAAAAAAAATATTAAAAAAATTTAAAAATTTTAAAAAAAAATTTTAAAAATAAAATATTTGAATTTTCACGTGGAATTTTAAAAAAATTAAAAAATAAATAAAAGAAGCCACGTCAAGTATCACATATGCAAATTCTGTTAGAATCTTCACTCAAAATCAAATTTGAGAAAATCTTATTATGTTGAAAGACTAAAAGAAAAAAATAATTTAAAGAGAATAAATCAAAACTCATTACTATTACAGAAAGTAAAATGCATTTAACCCCTTAAAATTATAATTAACCTAATTCATCTCCTAATAAATAACATCATTCTCTACATAAACTCTTCTTATTGTTTCGATAATTATAGTGAAATTTAAATTTTTTTTTTCTTTCAATATGATATGAGCGTTTGGTTGTGATCGAGGGACATGTAGGTGAAACCACCACAAACATATAAGAAAAATTGCAAGTCATACATTAATTACAAATATCTCCTTAAAAAATTATATAGACGTAAACCAAAAAAATTTCAAATCTTTGATTAAAAGTAAAACTTAAAAAGAATTTATATAGAATAATATTTCTTATTTTATTTATTTGATTCATAAAAAATAGATTGTACCTAAAGCGTGTGTGATTGATTTTGTTTCTTAAATTTGCGTTGAATTTGCAATCGAAATCAGAATATAATCATATTTTTTTATTCTGCGGGATTGAGAAAAACAAATGTTGGTGAGATCTGAGTGAATTTGCACAAGAACGAAGATCAACGACGAAAACGGTAGCTTGAACACAAAGCTTCCAGTATTTGATGGAAATAATTGGAATTAGTGGATGATTTAGATGTGTATGTTATTTGGCGCTCAAGATGTTCTTGATCTCGTCAATGACGATTACACGGTGGTGTTGGCTGAAGATTTTGATAATATTATTAGAAGCCAAGTGAATTGGACGTTTCGATTGAAATAAAACAAAACGTCATGTTTCGAAATAGCAGAAGCAGTGTTTCGAATGAGCATATCAAAGCTTGGAGCTTCGAGTGGCAATTATGAGAATATATCCAAAGAAGTCTCGAAATGACAAAAAGGCTGTGTCTAAGAAGTGCGTTCGAAGCGAAGAAGTGCCAAAACATTTGAAATTCAAATGCAAGCGGGATGTTCGAAATTTGAAATATATGCACTGGAGCATTCGAAGACACGTGGAAGCAAAAGAGAGGCATTGCTCTGCATGTTCTGAACGTGGCAGAATCTTATAGCAAGACCGTTATGGTCGAAGTAGTATAAATAGAAGTCTTAGCATTAGGATTTCGTGTGTCATATCTATTGTACAAAAACACTCAGTAAACATTCAAATTACCACATGGCTAGGGAAACGAATGCAAGAGCAATGTACGTATGATAGCACCACATGTTTATGATTTAATGAAAACCCTTTATCATTTCCAGTACTTTCCTTATCTTTATGTCAATACCATTTACAAGTTTTGTATCTAAAGTCTTTTTATTCGAAATCTTTTCAATGATGTCTTACATTTAAATGCTTTCTTTCCATTTCAAACACTTTACATTCCAGAAACTGTTATACATTTCATGCATTTATCTTCAAGTTCTTATCCTTCGAACACCTTTTTCACTTAAAGCCATTTTACAGTTTTCTTGCATTAAACGCTTTCTTCACATTTCAAATCTTTTACATTAACTGTTTTCTTTACGATTCGAAGTCAGTTACTTGTCTTTTATGCAGTTTTTTACATGTCTTTACAGTTAACCTTTATTCATGCAATTTAGTTTCACGCACATATATTTTGATTACACCTTTAGATCTTTAAGAGAAAATCGAAATAAGTTAAACACCTACACAACATTTTAAATACCAACCATGAATATCTGTTCGATCATGAGAGTTACCCTAATAACCAACACGTCCTAGGATCAATCTAGTCGATCCTGCGAGTTACCAGAGGAATTGAATAACAGTCAGTAAGTTTATTCGATAGTTTGGAAGACTAGCGGTTGTTTACCAGAAATCACTGTAAACAGGTGGTTGCAGCTAATGCAGCGAAAGTGCAAAGAAACATGCAACATGAAATGGAGAAGAAGGATCAGAAGGAGTTGTTCTATATCCATCAAGGTGTGGATACAAATGTGTTTTTGAAGATCGCTGATTCAACGACGACGAAGGTTACGTGGGACATACCGGTACAGTACTACGGCGGTGACGCATCAGTGAAGAAGGTGAAACTTTAGAATCTAACGTAAGCGATATGAGAATATCAACATGAAGAACATTGATAAGGTACTTGATTACATCTCCAGAGTTATTCTGATCACAAATGAGATGAAGGTTTGTGGAGAAACGCTCTATGAAGAAGTTATTATTGAAAAGGTACTTAGATCCCTTAAACCTCAGTTTAATTACATTTTTGTAGAAATTGAACATTATAAGAACCTGATCACCATGAGAATTGAAGAGCTGCAAAGTAGTCTAGAGGCACAAGAGTTGCGTCTGATTGAGAGAAACTCTGAAAAAGAGATATAACAGGCTCTGAAAAGGTCTTCTACTAAGAAGAATCAAAAGTAGTCTTGATCAGAGGCTAATAAGAGACATGTTAGTTCTCAGAAGTCAAAAGCCTCCAACTCTGATGAGAAGAAACATCAGAAGGGAAAGGATAAGTGCGATAAGAGAAATGTTTAATGTTACAATTGTAATAGGTTTGGTCATTTTGCTAAGGTTTGTTGCTCAAACAAGGAAAGAAAGTCAGAATAAGCAAACATAAACAAAGGAGATTCTGATGATGAGCCTATGCTATTGATGGCTTCTGAATCTGATGGTGGATATTTGGTAGATTGGTGGTATATGAACATTGGCTTCTCAAATCATCTAACTGGAAACAAACAATATGGTTGATTGATTTTGACTCTAGAAAGAGGACAAATATTAGACGTGTTGCTGATAAGTACCTTAATGCTGAAGAAATGGGAAATGTCAAAGTCAGAGTGAAGAATGAAAAAAAATGTTCTGGTCAAAGATGTTTGATATGTTCCTGGTATAAAGAGCAATCTGATGAGTGTAGGTCAGCTAATTGAGAATGATTTTTCAGTAACTATAAAGAACAATCTCTTGAAGTTGTATGATTCTGATTAAAAATAATCATGTAATCTGAGCAAGAAAGCAACTAAACATTCAAGGTGAATGTGGAGACAACTGAAACTAAATGCTTTAGTGCAGAAGGTGATGAAGGTGATAGTGAGCTGTGGCACAAGAAACAGGTACACCTGAACTTCAGAAGCTTAAGGAATATAAGTTCTAAGAAGCTGGTACATGGAATTCCTAAGATTATAAAATAGGAAAAGTCACATGAGATATGCATGAAAGGAGAGCGATCTAGATTGCCACTTGCATTAGAAGTGGCTTCAAGAGCAAAGCATGTGTTGGAAGCAGTGCATTCTGATGTATGTGGACCATTTGAAATACCTTCACTTGGAGGAAACAAATACTTTGTGTCTTTTGTGAATGAGTTTACAAGAATGACATGGGTAGCACTCATCAAGTTTAAGCATGAGGTTTTTGTTGAGTTTCAGAAGTTCAAAGTAAAGGCTAAAAAATAGAGTGGTCAGAAGCAGAAAGTTCTTAGAACTGATGGTGGAGGTAATTAAAACTCTGCCAAGTTCAAGAAGTTTGGTGAGGAGAATGGAATTGAGTATGAGGTTACTAATCTATACACTCCTCAACACAATGATCTTGTTGAAAGAAGAAATATAATTTTGCTTGATATGACAAGGAGCATGCTGAAAGAGAATGAGCTCCCTCACACATTGTGAGGTGAAGTTGTTGCCACTATAACATATGTGCTCAACAGGTGTCCAACTAAGAAGTTGAAGGAAATATTTCCTTTTGAGAAGTGGAATAAAGAAAAGTAAAGTGTGAGTCATTTCAGAGTATTTGGTTCAGTTTATTACAAAGTAACATTGCTAATTGGGTAGCACAATACATGTGCTTATAAAGTTTATTGTCGAATTTCTAACATAGTTGAAGTCAGCAGAGATGTTATTATGAAAGAATTAGAAGCATGGGATTGGAACAAATCCTAATCCAACTCTGGTGCAGTATTAACACTCGAGGTAACTTCTGAAGGTATTTCCAATCTGAAAGAGAATCTACCTATGAAGTTGAGTCTGAAAATGAGTCAGAGTCTGAAGTTGATTTTAACTTCAAATAAAATCAATTTTAAAAATATAATCAATTCTATTTTAAGAATCAAATACATTAAAATCATCGTAGAATTATTTCTACACTTCAAAAATATTTTTATCCCTTTTAAAATTGAAATCAAACATACACTAAGTTCATTTGACTTGGGAAACCAAGCATGCAACAATTTTATCGCCAATACCACAATAAGACGTGCAATGAAAACGATGTCTACATGGAATTAATCCAAGGGTAGGCTTGTGGACCCATGCAACACAAGATTTCAACACGTGGACGGTCAAGATTTCACTAAATATTCTCTCCCACCTTATAAATTGGGGTCACGCAGCACCATTAAAAAACATCAATTGTAGTGAAGAAAACAGCAACCAAGCAATATCAATTGTTCTTTGCTTTGTAATCTTAGTCGCTGAAAAAATGTCTGGCTGTAATTGTGGAAGTAGTTGCAACTGTGGTGATAGCTGCAAGTAAGGATCCGCCACCTTAATTCTTCCTTATGTTCAATTCAATATAATTTTTCTATATGGCTATAAATTTGTTATGAATCTTGGATACATTTCTTTTAATATTTGATTGGATTTTGATTTTTATTGCTTGGCAGATGCAACAAAAGGTCTAGTGGATTGAGCTACTCGGAAGTGGAAACCAAAGAAACAGTGATTCTTGGCGTGGGTCCGGCGAAGATCCAGTTTGAAGGTGATGAAATGAGCGTTGCTTCAAAGGAAGGTGGGTGCAAGTGTGGTGATAACTGCACTTGTGACCCTTGCAACTGCAAATGAAGTGCAACACATCAACACTTGAAGCAGAGATATTCGAACCAATTTATGTAATGATATGTATTTGCTTTTTTTAAATTAAATAAAGTGGCTATAGTTGCTTTGTCTTTGGTTGTCTTGTGTAATGTAAAAGCTAATTATAGCTAATATCAATCTTAAATCTCTGCTTATTATGAATGGAATATAATTTATACTTGTGTCTTAATTGAATAAAAACTTTGGAATTAAAAAAAAAAACAACTTTAAAACACTTATTTGGTAGCTGAATATAGTCCAATGATACCACTTATTTATGGAAAAATGAAGTTTAACTTCTAATTTCTTTTTGTCAAAATTTTTTATTTTTGTGATTACAACACGTATCCATTTTCTTTTTGGAAAAAATTAAATATAAATAGAAATAATTCAATAATAAAAAGTACACTTTATTATTAAAAAGAATATCATTTACTTTACTTGTTAGTAATTTCTTTAATCTTTAAATCAAGACTAAAATGTAACGAGTATAACATAATTATATAATTTTGTTTAAGATAAATAATTATTAATTGTCAATGTTCACTGTTGGAAGCGGTAAAACGGTAAATAATAAAAGTTTTAAAAATATTTATTCAGAAATTTATCATATCTACATAGATTGGTGTATTTAAATTCCGTTTGACAATTCTATCGTTAATGAGTTTAGGAATAAATGGGTTGAAAGAAAAAGTATTGACAAGAAAATAAATGTATAAAAAGGAAAAAAGAATAACTTATCAAGCATGCATATATATCACTTCTCACATACTTAAACCTATCGACCTGTTATACTAAACCTATAGTATTCATCAATGTCATCATGTGTCACTCACAACCTAAGTCATTTCTAAGCTAAATTGAGAGGCTGGGTGCATCACCTCGATAGCGATCTCTCAACCACCTCAACGACACGGAAGTCAATCGTACTCGCTTGCATAAACGATCTCTCAGAGCGACACAAACAACACAGAGACATTAATCTCAGACACCCAAAGTGAATAACAGCGCTAAATCTATCTCTAGAATTCAGACACTATTAGATAATCATCCTAGATAATAATCTAAGTTGTATATGTTTATAACAACTCAAATCCCTAACACAGAGCAAAAATCAAGGATAATAATCGACAAAGATTTATAAAGCAAGTTTTATACAATACCAAGGGTGAAAAATATACATGAGTTCAAAGAAAATATACATACAAACCTAACCAATAGAGAATACACAAAGAAAAAGAGAAATGAACCGCAAATCTACCGGTTTGTCACTGTTGATCGAAGAGGAATCTACCCCGGATCATTCGTATGCAAGCTCCATAGTTGTTATCGAAGCTAATCCCAACAAAATTAAAGGTTGATGGAGTTGGGAGCAAAAAATTCCCCAAAACCATGACCTAAAAAATGAATGAAATGAAGTTATAAAACAAATCTCATCATACCGCGCCAAGCGGGTCTGGTATGCTAAGCGTGACTTCCTTATTTAATACATCAAACCGACCTAAACCGCGCTAAGCGTGCTATCTACGCTAAGCGCACTTCAAAACATTGGTTATGCCAAAACAGTAAAATGCAAACAGCGCGCTATAAAATACGTTGAGCGCCACTCGTGCTTTGCGGCCTCTGCGTGCAAAGCGAGCTCTCTTGGACAGAATGTCCAAAAACTGGTCTTTTATTCCGAAAACGCGCATCCAGAGCCGTGCCTTCGACACTTTATTACTCATGCTCCAAATACGCATAAATACCTATAAAATGAATGAAAAAACATCAAACAATATACTATGTACACAAAAACACAAATAAACACAAACTAAACGTGTTTACACAAAAGTCGGGTTTATTCAATGATATTTACAATAAAAAGTCGATAACTACAACAAAAAGTATATATAAAAATAACTACAATTTGCACTTATCAATTATGGGTAAATATTCAAAATAATTAATAAGTAATAAAAAAATTGAATATTAAATAAGAGAAAACACAAGTTATATATACTTACGAATTGATAAACGTCCTAAAGTAAAAATCAATTTTCTCTTGAATTAACTTAATTTGTATGTACGTTTGTATTTCATTTGATGAACGTTGGAAAATTTTAAAATTTAATATGGAATGAGTCCAACAAAATATACTTTTTTAAATTTCTTTGTGCACAAAACAAATACATGTACCTAAATGATGTTAACACAAAAGTTGACATTAAAAATATTTGATAACAATAAATATAAATTAAAATCACCATAAAATTTATATTCATGTGCATCATGATTAAAGTACGTCTATGTCAAGTCAATTAGTATCCTCCATAATATCCTAATGCAACTCTTTGATATTAAAAATAATTCTTTTGGTTCATGTTGTAATTGTATCAGAAATGAGTCTCTCATCTCCTATACCGTGCTTCTCATCATTACAATGGATCTGGTTGAGGTATTGGGGTCTCAATGTTGTGTTTTAGGGTTAAAGTTGAACTATATTTCATGCTTGCACCACCCAAAACAAATTTATCAGATATGTCTAATTGATTTATATTTAGGCAGGTGAGTACACTAATTAATTTCAACTATTTAATCATAAAGACAACAACGATGTAATACATAATTTTAAAAACACAAACAACAACAACACATAACACATATTTTTAACCAGACAAACTGAAAAGAACTTTTCTAAGCCAAATTTATATTATCTCAATCACATCCCAAGCCATATTCTCATGCATCTCTTGGATCACACTCTCCTGTGCCTCATTGGTCATATTCTTCTGCTCCTCCTCTCCTACACCTCCCGGGTGACACTCTCCTGCATAGTTGCTCGCTCATTTTCTAATGTTTTCCCTATTTTCCATGGTTCTCCTCCTCCATTATTGGATCTAATATATCTTCAATATACTTTTTGTGCATTTCGTCAATCCTTGAAGATTATCCAAAAAATAACCTCAAGGTGATGCCTCATCCAACACAAAAGATACACCTACATGCTTATCATTTACAATTGCTTCTACCAATATTCCATGGTGTTGTTGTGGAACAATGGCCCTATCATTGATTTTTTAACCAACGAGAGTTATAACACAAATAAAATAAAAAATGTATTTCCATTTTTATCAACATAATTATAATAACATAATATATAAGCAATGAGCAATCCACACAACAAAAACTAGCATTTCTAAGTTACACATTGATAAAGTGAGTGAGTTAACTACCGAATATGTGATGAAGAAGATAAAAAATGGTGGAGGAAGCTTCATTGATATTCAGTTATCTTTCCTTCATCTCAAGCTACACTTGAGCTTCAATAGTGTTATGGTGTTCGAAGGGAGGAAACTTATGTGTGCTGGAAGAGTTGATGTTCAAACACTTATGTATGTTGGAAGGGATGAAATTTCAAAAACGATTATGGAATATGAGTTTAGATGTTTAGGGCTGCCACGAAGGAAAAAATGAGATTAACTTATTGATTAACTTAGCTCACAAAAATAATAAGAAAGGGTCACCACCGAATTTTATTGTTTCCAAAGAAATAGAAAAATATCGATAAAACCCAAAAAAGGAAAGATATAGGTACAGGGGTTGGTTATGCAAAGGGAATGTATTATCACTTCTCACATCTACAGTACTCCGTAGAAACCTCTTGGAAATAAGTATTAGGATAAAATGATTGTTTGCAAAAAGATTGGAGAGATGAGAAAAGAAGTATATTTTTATTATTTTGGATTCGCCAAGACTTCGAGAGCCTTATGCCTACATACCTTCTTTGTAAAATGAAGAAGCCAAAACGACATCGTTCTTCTAAAAAGGAATAAAATGGTGTTTATTTGATTGATTTTAATGAAAAGACATTTCGTCATTTTCGAGTGGAAAACTCAACTTATCACCCACAAGTATGAGAAAGTGGGCACTGACGTCATCTTGATGGAGAATCTTTGCTTAGATATAATCAACATGCACGTCTCTAAATTTAAGTGAAAAATGTCAACATCTCTCATTCATACTATGGGAACATGAGATTTACATCTCAATCAAGAAGATAACTTATGTCTAATCTTTCTGAAAAATTTGAAAGGAAAAATGTGCAAGAGCACAAAATTGATTTGATGATGTTTGTGTTTTTTAGTGTTTGGAAATTGTTTTGATATGCTTAAGTGTTTTAGAATTTATTGAGAAAAATTTTAAAAATCATTTGACAAAGTCAACATTTGTTTTGAAAGTGGTTTTAAGTTTGAAACAAGAAGGTTTTGAAAGAGGAAAAAGATTTTGAAAATTTAAGAATGGGAGGAGATGAAGAAACTATCCTAAAGCATAAAGTAAAGTACAAGAAATAAATGGTCTCATTGTAAGGTAGCCCCAGAGAAATCTTTTGTATCTGCAAGTGAACTAACCAGAATTAAGCAAACAATTGACATTAGTAAAACTTACCAATTCTCTTCATTTGGATTAAGCCATAAGCAAGCAAGTACCAGATGAATATTGTTGTACCCCAAAATTTTCCCTCTAATTTTTTACAAGATCTTCTCTTACATGGGTGGTTACAAACACTTGTTTGAAGAAAAACAACAAAATTTAAAATTGGCAAAAGTGCCTTTTGATTGGCCTCTCCAAAGTGCCTTTCAATTGGCCACTCCAAAGTGCCTTTCGATTGGCCTCTCCAAAGGGCCTTTCGATTGGCCACTCCAAAGTGTCTTTCAATTGGCATCTACATAGCGCCCTTCGATTGGCATGGACAAAGGTCCTTCGATTGGCCTGTTAACAAGGGTTTTTCGATTGGCATTTTAGCAAAGCCTTTCGATTAGATCTTTCGATTGGAATTTTAATGTTACTTCGATTGGTCCCAACTGAAGGAAATCAAAGAGAGAAAAATGAAGCTTTCGATCGGTCAACAAGGTACTTTGATTGGAGTCTGAGCAAGGCACTTCAATTGGTATCAGAACAAAGTGCTTTCGATTGGCCTCATGGCCAAGCCTTTCGATTGGAATGGTAAG